CAACATCATCATCATCATCGTCATCATCATCAACATCATCATCATCGGGACACCATCATTATCGCCACCATCATCATCATAATCGTCATCATCATCGGGACACCATCATCATCAAGATCAGCATCATCATCATCGGGACACCATCATCAAAATCATCATCACCTCATCATCATCCTCAAAATCATCATCATCGTCATCATCGGGACACCATAATCGTCATCATCATCAACATCATCATCGGAATACCATCATCATCATCACCATCATCATCAACAACATCATCAACCTCATCATCATCATCATCGGGACACCATCATCATCATCTTCATCATCATCATCATCTCATCACCAAGATCATCAACACCATCATCACCGGGACACCATCAACATCATCAGCAACATCAACATCATCAACATCATCATCATCAAGACACCATCATCACTACCATGGCCATCATCATCATCATCATCAACAACATCGTCAACATCATCATCATCGGGACACCATCATCATCACCACCATCACCATCATCATCATCATCATCATCAACATCACGGACATCATCATCATCATCATCATCATCATCGCATCGGGGCACCGACGGGACACCGGCGGGACACCAGCGGGACACCGCGGGCCACCGGACGCCGGTCCGGAATCATTTGGTCCGGCCGCGCCTCAGCCGGAGACGGGACACCGGCGGGACACCGCGGGCCACTGGACGCCGGTCTGGAATCATTTGGTCCGGCCGCGCCTCAGCCGGAGGCGGGACACCGGCGAGACACCGCGGGCCACCGGCCACCGGACGCTGGTCCGGAATCATTTGGTCCGGCCGCGCCTCAGCTACAAAAGACTTTGTTCTCGCCCGCCCACGCAGCTTCGCCTCGCCCGCACGCACGGCACGCACGAATATGTTTGTATGAATGTATGCATGCACCTATGTATGCATGTGTGTGTGGGTGTGTCTGTACATATGCACGTGTATGTGTTTGTGTATGTGTATGTGTCTGGCTGTATGCATGTACGTATGCACGTAGGTATGTAGGTAGGTATGTATGTGTATGTATGCATGTCTGTATGTATGCATGCACATATTTATGTATGTGGGCGGGTCTGCATGTATGTACGCATGCTTGCATGCATGCATGCATGCATGCATGTATGTACGCATGTATGTGTGTATGTCTGCATGCATGCATGCATGAGCATACGTACGTACGTACGTACGTACGTACGTACGTACGTATGTATGTATGTATGTATGTATGTATGTAGAGATACCTCGCCCCATTGGAGTACCAATTCCTGGTCGTGCCCTTTTTCGCGTCTACTCTTACAGACGCCCTGGTTTGATCAACCCTCCCCCCCCGTGGGCGTCCGCCCACGGGGCGGGATGGCTACGTCGACCCACGACCTGCCTGTCAGCAGCCTGAGCCCGAGACTGAGGATCGGGATCGGGATCGGGCTCGCCGCATTCGCGTGTTATCTCGGCCCATGCGGCTTGACACCCTGAGACCTTGCTGCGCTTGTAGCCCTGAGCGGCGCTTCGCTGTGAAATGACGACCTTGCGAGGCAACCTACGTAGGAGGATGAGCAGCAGCAGCAGCAGCAGCAGCAGCAGCAGCAGCAGCTGGAGGCCCTGAGACCCAGGCCTTGCAATTTTTTGTCACTTGGCGTCCTCGACCAGCTTGAGGCCCCCGGGACCATCACAAAGTCGACCCAACTGGAAAAATGCCGCAGGGAGGTGGTGTATGGGGCTCCGGTCGTGGTTTTTTAACAAGTTGCAATTTGGGGGCCTCAAGGGGAATGCGCAGAAGGAGGGGGGAGGGCCTCAGCAAACCCAGCACGCACTGCGGTGGAGATTTAGAAGGGAGCTCAGTAAAGAGAGGCAGTCGGTGGCCTCGGTAGGGTGACTCGGTGAAGGGAACTGGTAGAGGGAGATAGTAAGACCCCGCGGCACCATGACTATGTGTCAGAACTTGCAACAAGGATGTTTGCCAGCGCGGACCACAATCAATGGGTTCTTGCACTCTCGGTGTGCAATGCATATGGAGCAAGATACGTTGTGTCAACCATGTGGTGTAAGCTATGTGGTGCAATCTACGTGATGCAAGCTTTGTGGTGCAGCGTATCTTGTAAAAACTATGCGGTGCAATCTGAATTCAGGTGTAAGTCATGCTGTGTCAACTGTGTGGCGCGATATATGTGACGCAAACTTTGTGGTGCAAACTATCTGCTGCAAGGTCCGTGATGCAAGTTCTGTGGTGCAAACTCTGTGGTACAAGTTGTGTGGTACAAGTTGTGTGGTGCAAGCTGTGTGGTGGAAGCTGCGTGGTGGAAGCTGTGCGCAGGCTGTGTGGTGAAGGCTGAGTGGTTGAAGATGTGCACAAGCTGCGCGACGCAGGCTTTGTGGTGCAAGCTGTGTGCTGCAAGCTCTGCGATGCAAGCTCTGCTGTGCAAGCTGCGTGGGGCAAGCTATCCGTGGCGCAAACTGTGTGCCTGAAGCTGTGCGCAGGCCGTTTGGTGCACTCTGCGCGGTGCCAAAGCTGTGGCAGGCAGCACGAGGCGCCCACGAGGCGCTCACGGGCGGGCACGCGGCGCCCACGGGGGGCCACACCTTGGCGGGCACGGCGACGCCCACGGGCGGGCACTGGGCGAACACCCCTCGCACGCCATCGCACGTCCGGCACCGGCCGGCCCCTGCCAGCGCCCCTGGGCGCCACGCCACGAGGCACCCACGGGCGGCCCAGCCGGGCGAGACCTCGGCGGGCCCACCCAACGATTTCGAAGCTGAGATATGAATCTCAGCTGCGCATATACGCAATACGCAACACGTAGCGTATTGATACGCAGCTCAACACATAAACTGAAAACGTAGGTCTGACGCGATACGTTCGCCAAAACGTGGGCCAATACGTTGAACCAACACGCAACGTATTGACACGCACGTTTTGAGCACGGTACGTGCTGCATATCAAAACGGGCGTATCGAGGCGGCTAAGATATGAATGCCTCACTCAGTGCAACCACTGTTGGGGGAGCTTACAAAAACATCAGCCGGCCCGACGCTGCTTTACACAGCACGAGCCGCCATCGCACGTCTGGCACGCAGGTGGCTTTCAAAGGAGGCTCTCGCCAGCGCCGCGCACGGTCGTCTCAAATGTTAACCAGAAGAACTGCACGGAGAGAGTGCGGGCCCCGCGAGCAAGATGCTGCTGCTGCTGGCGCGTACGTTTGCTTCACATGTGTTCAGCTTGTACACGGGTGGCAGGCGGCTGCATTTCTCAAAATTGGGTTTTCGCTCGATACTTCCTGGAAGAAGATGTTCCAGCAGTCGAGCGCAACATCACCACGGATGACGGGCGGTTCTTCTCCAGCCTGTGACTCTCGCTTTACACTTCTGCAGTCTGCATGGTCCGAACATGAAATGGTGCAACAAAAAGCGCAGACTGATGCCGGATCTTTCTCACATGTGGCAATCGCTCGGCACTTCCCTGACGCGTGTGATCGCACGCATTGACGCTTCTGGCAAGTACAAGGACGAGAAGCAGACCCTCTCCTGGAGGAACTCTCGCCTGAATGGCAGGCCCATGGGACGTCCTTCAAGCGGGCGTTCCCCGAGTGAGAAGAAGCGTGTGGGAGGGGGAGCCCGGTGGGGCGAGAGAGCCTGTTGCAACGACAGTGCATCGCCGCTGCGAAGTTTGGACCCACATCGTGGCTCTACCAGTACAATGCCGAACGAAGTCTCCAAGGGTGGGCCGGGACCATCGTGCCATTGAGCACCAGGGCCTGCGAGCAGCAAGGCGCCGAATTTCGACTTGGATTCCCAAAGGATTCGAATTGAGTTTGGGGGAGGCCATGGGCGGAATCGCCATTTCGACTTTGAACGGAACGGGTTTCGACTTCTGTTTCTGACAGAATATTGGGCGGAATCGCGATTTTGACTTCGTGCCCAGAAATTTCGACTTCGGTTGAAACGTTTGTTCGATGAGTTCTCAAGCGGAATCGTCGTTTCGATTCCAACCCGTTTGACATTCGAAACTTTTGATTCGGTAGCCCGAAAAAACGAAAGTGTGGCTGTCCCTTGGGATTCTCTCGAAAAGGCGATTTCGACTTGATGTCGAAAACCGTCGGCCCGAAGTCGACATGGCGATTCCGCCGAATACTTTTTCGACGAAACGTGTCCGACCGACGTCGAAACTCCCTGGACCGAAATCCAAACAGAGCGGAACTGCCTTCGCTACACGAAGCAACGAGACGCACCCTGGCGATATTGTACTGAGGCCCCGTCGCCAAACGGGCCCCTTTCAAAATGCCCTCCGTTGACAGCATTGTACTGGGGCCCCGCAGCCGAACGGGGGGAGCTAAATTTCGGCCGGATATTCGCAGCGGCGAAATAATCAATCACATCTACTATTAGCGACTCATACGCAATATCCACCACCATGCCCCCTGGCACGTTGAGGCGGGGTAGAATGGCAAGGGCTGTCTAGCACGGCCCACCACCACCACCACTTCTCCTATCACCACGCTTACTCGCGTGCACCACCCCTCCTTACCACAGTAGGGAACAATGTGTCCGCTCGAAGCGGGGTCAGAGCTAGAAAGATAATTGGACGCGGCAGGATGAAGAAGGTGGAGCCTGTAGTGTGAAAGACTGTGTGAGTATGATGTTGATGGTGACGATGATGATGATGATGATGATGATGATGCTGATGCTGATGCTGATGCTGCTGATGATGATGATGATGGTGGTAATGATTATGATGATGCTGGTGATGCCGATATTGATGGATATGATGATAAACATGATGGTGACGATGATGATGCTGATGCTGATGCTGATGCTGATGATGATGATGATGACGATGATGATGATGATGATGATGATGATGATGATGATGATGATGTTGATGCTGATGTTGCTGATGACGATGATTATGATGTTGGTAATGGTGGTGATGATGATGCTGATGGTGATGATGACGACAAAGACATAGTTTCTTCACGCGCGCTTGCAAACAATGCCCTGGAACACATTGGCTCCCCCAGCCTTGGCGGGACGGGCAACGAACGATCTCCCAGAGTCGAATACGCGGTAACTCCAGCTCCCTGGACCTTCGCGCCCCCTTGGACGAACTCGAAGCCGACGGGGCGTTCTCTGGCGGTAGCGTCAGCGACTGGAATAAGCCAGTCCCGACATAGTAGCGTGCTCTGCGGCCATCAGGGTAGTCACGATGGGCCATGAGAGGTGAACGAAGGCAGGGGGAGGAAGGGGGATGGAGGATGGACGCGCGAGCAGGCCGCCGATCTCGAACCTAACAAAACAAACGTGCAGCGCCGCCGCACTTTTGGCAGCTGCGGCGCAAACCCACCCCATTTGGATAGGGCCAATGTTACTTTTTCAAAAAAGAGGGCAGCGAGTGGATGAGGACGGCAGAGGGACCACATCCCTCCTCGAACTCAAACGCAGGCTTCCCCACAACATGGCGACGCCCCTGGACCCCGGCTTCAATGCTGACGCCGACGCTGGCAACTTTTTTGTTGACCCCGCGGGCGCATTGAATTTCGGGGGCGAGGGGGGTGGGATAACAAAGACTTGCGCTTGACTTCGAGGAGGTTTGCAAGGAGACTCGACCAGTGTGGGGGGGGGCCAGGGCGCCTGCCCTCGACTCGCGCGAGCGACCGCGGAGCACTCGCTAGCCGCTAGTATGCGCACCACGAGGGCCTCACGCCCCCCGTGGCGCTGCCGTCGCAGCCGCCCCGCGACTGCGGCGCCTGACTACCTACCGGACCACCCCAACCCAACCCGAAGACCCGAATTTCGGGTTGGGGGGGGTACGGGTTCCATGTGTGCTTTTTCAATGTTCCCCGATCCCCCCCCCCCACCGGAAATGGAGGGCAAATTGAAGCCTTCGGGTTAGGTTGGGGTGGTTCGGTGGGTGGTGATCGGGGATCTTCTGACCCGGGTCAAGCCAGACCTGGGCCAGTCAGGCCTTGCAGAATCCTGCAAGATCCTGCACCCAAGCCCAGGTCAATGCGAAAGATCCTGCAAGATCCTGCAGGATCCTGCACCCAAACCCGGGTCAGCGCGACCCTGGCCCTGCAGGATCCTGCAAGATTGGGCGCTCTGGCTGACCCCCGTCTGCACTGACCCCCCTTTCTTGAGCCCCGCGGTGGGCGCCAGGCAGGTGTCCCGGTCCGCGCAGTAGCTCGAGAGGGAGCAGGCCCCGCAGCCTCCGTAGCAGCACCGCCCGCGGCGCGCCTCCGCGGGAGCAGGACTCGGCGCGGGTGCGGGCGTGGGCGCAGCAGCGCCGGGGTCGCTGGCCTGCTGCTGGGCATCTTTCCTCCCAGGGCCCCCTCGCGCTGCGAAAAAAAAGGTCACGGCGGGAGGCGTTTCGCAATTCTTTCGGCCTCATGGGCCCTCACCGGGCTCAAGGACCGTCGAAAAACGACTCGGGATGAAAAGCTCGTCCCGGGGAAGGGGTCCAGACCTCTGGGGGTCGACTTTGCGAAAAAATCACGACGTCTGGGGTCCGGGGTCAAAGAAAGAGATGGAGCGCGACCGCAGAAGTTCCCACGGCTCGGCCTCAGCCGCTGTGCGAATCGAAGGGTCGGCAGGCACAGGGAGTTCCACACGGACGGGCCTGCATGACAGGCTTCTGACGTACCTCGTGATCCTGTAGTGCCACCAGTCCCATGGTCTTGGGCTGCTTGGCGCTCCAGCTTTTCCACCCCCCCTTCTTCCTCTTCGGGGGGGAGATCACAACTCCTTCTTGGTAAACGCCCCCTCCACTCGAGTAGCCGCCAACCAGGAACATTGCGACCACCGGCCCATCATCCCTGCAACAAAAACCACACAAAGCGCACGCTGCGGCAACAAACTGACCGTGAGCGGCCACCCCCCGATCACTCTGCGCATGCTTTTGGCACGGCTGCCAGGTGGGACGGCGCACATTGTCCAGTGCGCGCGGGCCCGCCATCTCTGTCAAAAGCCAGGCAGCATGACTGCGAGTGCACACACCGTACCTTCTTTTGTGTCACGCGTGCGTGACCAATGCAGAAGTCCGTGAGCTTTCGCAGGTACGGCCTTTAGCAACTTCCTTACTTGAAAGGCAGCTTAAACTGTATGGTACACTTGCCCGGGGCGGCCGCAGAAGCTTACCGAGAGCCATAGTGTTCGAGTGTGGTGAAGGCTCTGACGTCCTACCTCGGAAATGGATGGCGCCGCGGTCCCGAGGGCGCCCTCGTGTGCAGTGGACGAACTACATGCACGCAACGGCTCTCCGTGGTGGCAGGTGGCAGCTCTGATGCACTACAAGCACTACTGGTAAGTAGAGCACAGTGGAATGAGGAAGTAGAGCGACATTGTGTACAATAGTATGATAGTATGACAGATTCTTGTCCTCCTCGTCGTCCTCCTCCCCTCCCCCTCCCCCCTCCCTCGCGTTGCATGCTGTGTCCCGAGCAGCGGATCACCAGCGCAAAGTTTCCAGTGATTGCACACCTTCTCGCCCTGCATGCCGCATGCGTTTTTGTCAGTTTCCCCGCATATGTGAGTTCGTAGTTTTCTGCTGTGCCAATGCGCCATCTAGGTGCGGCTTCGCGTGCGTGTGTGTGTGTGTGTGTGTGATCGGGGGGGAAACTGGCTCAATCGGAAAACATCGGCCCTGGATCGGTGATACATCGCCGATAGATCCGCGATAGGCCCCCAATTGTGAGTCCGCACCCTCCGTGGCGCAGCGGGCCATCGTACCCCTATCGGCGATGAATGGGCGATTCGGGGTCGACGCGTTTCCCCCCTGAGCCCATCCTCCCCTGTCGTTGCCCCTGAGCTATGCCGACCAACCTGATGTCGCTTCGAATTGGTATTCGTTGGGGGTACCGGGGGGGTCGGCACGCTGTCCCATGTGTGCTGTCGCGCGCGCTGTCGCTTCTGGCGCACTCGGCGCGCGCAGCACACCTGGTGCACGTGGCAAGCCTGGCGCACGTGGCGGACGCGGCGCATGCACGCTGCGCAACTGGCACACCAGGCACGTTGGGGCGCACTTTGCGCGCTCGCGCTGCGACTGTGCACCTGGCGCACCGTGAGCACTTGGGGCACCTGGCGTAGCGCCTGGCGCACCTGGCGCGCCTGCCGTACTTAGCGCACTTGGGGCGCGCGGCGGACTTCGCGCACGCCCAGCGCACCTGCCGTCCATAGGCATTGGTCACCGGCGGCGGCCCACTGCGTGGCGGCACTCAGCCTCGGGCGCTGCTTGCGGTCGAGGGCTTTTGCTGCTCGTGCCGCGGCGGCGGCCCTGGCGGCACGCTATGCCCTGCAAGCGGATAGCGTGTCGCTCTGCCTCGTGGGGCGGGAGGCTCGGACGGGCTCGGGACGTCGACGCTCGGGGACTGGGGCGCGGTCAGTAGCGTGTCGCGCCGAAGCGTGGTGGGCCAGAACAGCTGGCGGCGCGACAAGCTAAGCTACAGTTCCTGACCTTGCGTGCTGGAGGGCTGGTGGAAATGAGCGAGGCAGCTTGTAGCGTCGTCGCTGGGAACTTGACCCCTCCCCTCTGTCCCCATCCCCTCGGTCTGCAGCGGGGGGGGGAAGGGCCCAGAAGTTAGACGCTCCGTCTGCGCTTCGGATGGATCCACACACCCTAGGGTGGCTTACAAGATGGCGCGACATGAATCTTCCTCCTGCCTGCTGAAATTCCTCCTCCTTATGCGTCTTCTTTTTCTTCTCCTCATCCTCCTCCTCCTCCTACATCTCCGACCCCTTTGCCCCCACCTCCTCCTCCCCCCACCTCATCCTTTCGCCTCCTTCCCCTCCTGCTCTCCCTGCTCTCCCTGTCCTCCCCGTATCGGCGAAAATGCAGCGCGATCCTGGCAGCGTAGTCCGCCGTTTCTGTGAGGGTCGGCCTCCCACTCGACAGTGCCCGCCACCAGCCAGCACCTGAGTGGCGACGCCTGCTCGGGGGAGTTCGTGATCCACGCCACGCAGGTGTCGCACAGCCCACACAGCGCTTGACACTCGCCGTCGGAGGACACAGCAGCCCCAGAGTAGTCCGAGGGGCCGCACGTTCCGGACCACGCCCCGGGGGCGACGTCCTGGCCGTGGCGCACGGCACACGGGTCCTGGCAGCGTGGCGGGCGAGCGCCCGCGGGAGGCACGCAGAGGCGCCGCCGCCCTGCCCGCCCCCAAGCTGCCCTCTGACGCGCCCTCCGCACGAGACGCGTCTGCACTCGCAGGTGCACGGCGGCGGGTTCCGACCTGTCCTCCATGCCCTCCTCCCCCTTCGAACGAGGACGCGTCTGCACTTACAGGTGTGTGTGTGTGTGTGTGGTCACACGGCGGCGGGGTCCGACCTGCCCTCCATGCCCTCCTCCCCGTGCTGGCGGGCCAGGGGGCCGCGAGCGACGGGCTGCGGGCAGCAGGCAACGGGGCCATGGGGCGGCGGGCCGCAAGAGGGGGCCCACGGGCCACGGGCACCGAGGTGCAGCAGGCCCAACTGACAGCCTTTGCAGTGGGCCCTGGGAAGCGGCCACACGCACTCGCCCTGGAACAGACGCACCAAGCCACAGGCCAGGCGCCGCGGGCTCGAGGGGGCAGCTGCACAACTCGGCTGTCCCCCACACGCCGTCCCGCGAGAAGAGAAAGGGGACTTGGTCCGTGTCGTGCCACGTCCAGCCGCGAGTGGGCACTGCACCGTGCTGTCGCCATGCTGCACTTCTTCTTCTTCTTGACGCACGAAACGCACGAATGCACACGCACCATGCGCTCACACAGCACTGACAACACTACGCGCAAGACGTCCAATGTACAATCTGTACCCAGCACGAACAGAGAGACGCCAATCGGCCGTCAAGAGACTTACGCCCCGCGCAGGTTTTTGAGTATGGACGGCAGCAAGGTTCAAGGACGATCCCAGAAACATACTGCACAACGGGAGAGCAAACATATGGGGGGAGGGGAGGGGGGCGCGCAGGACGAGCGCACCTGCAGCAGCCAGCACGGCGTGGGTTCCCGCAGTAATCACGACAGTGCCGAGCTTAAGATAACTCGTGCGCACGCGCAAGGGTGCCCTTCGGAAAGCAGCCCATCCTTACTGTGCGGGCCGACAGTACCGAGCTGAAGACAACTCGCGCGTGCTCAGGCTGGCACGGGCCGAAGACCAGGCAGCCGCTGCCAGCAGCTACAAGCATCGTGGTACCCGAAGTAACGCCGGACAGGGAACGACAGGGGGCTCCTCTGGCCACCGCGAGCCTCGGCCGCAAAGAGGTCTTCCCCGCACCCTGCTCTGCGGAGCGGCCCGAGCACCGGAGACCCTCCTGAGCCCAAAGCAGTCCTTACTGCAGCGTCTTCGGCTATATCCACCAAGCCTTCGGAACGTCCCGGTGAGAGGGACGCGATGGACTGCGGGGACCAGGGGACGAAAGGGAACGGAGCAGTCACCCTGCCTCGAAGCCGGAGGCGGCTCAGGAAGCCCTGCATCGTCCCACCAATCGCACAACATCGTGACGGCCAAGATGCCAATGAAACTGCTCGAGGCGGTAGAGAGGGTCGGAAATTAGCCTGGCGAAGGACCCAACCATATGCAGCTGCGAGTACCGCGAGGGAAATGAGACGAAGGAGGGGGGCACGCAAACTACAAGTGGCGCGAGGCATGGCCCCTGTTGTCATGGGCACTGCGTCACAGCACGGACGAGGCGCAAGACAGCGCGGGCAGGAGGTGGCTGGAGAAGGAGGAGAGCTCACTGGGCGATCCAACACATCAGTATCATCATCGCATCGTCAGACCTGTTACTGGGCACGCAGGAAGATGTTACGGAGAAGCCGCGCAAATGTCAGGGGCAGGCCAGCAACGGCAGAGACGAGACCGGGGGGCCCGCGGTCAAGAAGCAAAAGGAAGCAAGAGGAGCGAGAGACGAGGGGTGACATTTTTGCCTCCGGGCCGACCGAAGAGCACAACAGTGACGACAGCTACGAGAACTGAATATTCGTTCGGTTTCGAACATGAAGCTGCGGGCCCCACAGGCGCCCCGCATGCGGGCGCAGCGCTGTGCCACTGGGACCTTCGGTGGAGCTCCCTATGGGGCTACGAAGCGCTGCCCTGGGTGGGGGAACCGCATGCGGGCTGTGCCACTGTGACCTTCGGTGGAGCTCCCTATGGGGCTACGAAACGCTGCCCCGGGTGTGCCACTGGGAACCGCATGCGACTGGGGCCTTCGGTGGAGCTCCCTATGGGGCCACGAAACGCTGCCCTGGGTGGGGGAACCGCATGCGGACTGGGACCTTCGGTGGAGCTCCCTATGGGGCTACGAAACGCTGCCCTGGGTGGGGGAACCGCATGCGGGCTGTGCCACTGGGACCTTCGGTGGAGCTCCCTATGGGGCTACGAAACGTGTGAGGGGTGTGCCGAGAGCAGAGGCAAGGAGGGGGAGGAGGGAGGAGGGCGAGGAGGGGGAGGAGGAGGAGAGGAGGTGGGACGCGGGGCGCTGTCTCTTCAAAACGAGGACCCAACACCACAGGATGGTTGGGAAAAAACACCAAGAGTGAGGATAGTGTAAGACGACGCGAGGCCGCAAGTTTACATGCTCTCTGGTCTGTCAGATTCAGAATCAGCGGAGTCGGATCGTGCACACTCTTCGGCTGGCAAAGACAAAACACACAGAAACATTGGCACAAATTTAACTCGGCGAGAGCATGCGCGGCGACGCACCCACCGGTCGGCACACAAACATACATGCACGCACACGCAATCGTCTGACATCCAGCATGGGAGCGTGTGTGGGCGCCATCGTAATCATGGGAGCGGGCGCGGACGCTGGCGTCGGCGCCGGAGTGGGTGCCAGAGTGGGCGCTGGCGTCGGCGCAGGTGTTGGTGCAGGTGTGGGCGCCAGCGTGGGCGTTGGCGTTGGCGCTGGCGTGGGAGCCGTGGTAGGCACAGGCGTGGGCGCTGGCGTTGGTGCTGGCGTCGGCGCTGGCGTCGGCGCTGGCGTCGGTGCAGATGTTGGTGCAGGTGTGGGCGCCAGCGTGGGCGCTGGCGTCGGCGCTGGCGTGGGAGCCGGCGTAGGCAAAATTGTGGGTGCTGGCGTGGGTGTCGGCGTCGGCGCTGGTGTCGAAGCTGGCGTCGGCGCAGGTGTTGGAGCAGGTGTGGGCGCCAGCGTTGGCGTTGGCGTGGGCGCTGGCGTGGGAGCCAGCGTAGGCGTAGGCGTGGGCGCTGGCGTGGGTGCTGGCGTCGGCTCTGGCGTCGGCGCTGGCGTGGGAGCTGGCGTAGGCGCCGGCGTCGGCGCTGGCGTCGGTGCTGGCGTCGGCGCTTGCGTTGGAGCCGGCGTAGGCGCCAGCGTTGGCGCTGACGTGGGTGCAGGGGTCGGCGCTGGCGTCGGCGCTGGTGTCGGCGCTGGTGTCGGCGCCGGCGTCGGCGCAGGTGTTGGTGCAGGTGTGGGCGCCAGAGTGGGCGCTGGCGTCGGCGCTGGCGTGGGAGCCTGGGTAGGCGCTGGCGTGGGCGCCGGCGTGGGTGCTGGCGTCGGCGCTGGCGTCGGCGCTGGCGTCGGCGCAGGTGTTGGTGCAGGTGTGGGCGCCAGCGTGGGCGTTGGCGTTGGCGCTGGCGTGGGAGCCGTGGTAGGCACAGGCGTGGGCGCTGGCGTTGGTGCTGGCGTCGGCGCTGGTCGGCGCTGGCGTCGGCGCAGGTGTTGGTGCAGGTGTGGGCGCCAGCGTGGGCGCTGGCGTCGGCGCTGGCGTGGGAGCCTGGGTAGGCGCAGGCGTTGGCGCCGGCGTGGGTGCTGGCGTCGGCGCTGGCGTTGGCGCTGGCGTGGGTGCTGGCGTCGGCGCTGGCGTGGGCGCCGGCGTTGGTGCCAGCGTCGGCGCTGGCGTCGGTGCTGGCGTGGGCGCAGGCGTGGGCGTTGGCGTCGGCGCTGGTGTCGGCGCTGGTGTTGGTGCAGGTGTGGGCGCCAGCGTTGGCATTCGTGTCGGCGCTGGCGTTGGCGCAGGCGTGGGAGCCAGCGTAGGCGTAGGCGTGGGTGCAGGCGTGGGTGCTGGCGTCGGCGCAGGCGTGGGAGCTGGCGTGGGTAATGGCGTCGGCGCTGGTGTCGGCGCTGGCGTCGGCGCAGGTGTTGGTGCAGGTGTGGGCGTAAGCGTGGGCGTTAGCGTGGGGGCTGGCGTCGGAGCTGGTGTCGGCGCTGCCGTCGGCACAGGCGTTGGAGCCGGCGTAGGCGCCAGCGTTGGCGCTAACGTGGGTGCAGGCGTCGGCGCTGGCGTCGGCGCTGGTGTCGGCGCTGGCGTCGGCGCAGGTGTTGGTGCAGGTGTGGGCGCCAGCGTGGGCGTTGGCGTCGGCGCTGGCGTGGGAGCCTGGGTAGGCGCTGGCGTGGGCGCCGGCGTGGGTGTTGGCGTCGGCGCTGGCGTCGGCGCTGGTGTCGGCGCAGGTGTTGGAGCAGGTGTGGGCGCCAGCGTGGGCGTTGGCGTGGGCGCTGGCGTGGGAGCCGGTGTAGGCGCAGGCGTGGGCGCCGGCGTTGGTGCCAGAGTCGGCGCTGGCGTCGGCGCTGCCGTGGGCGCCGGCGTAGGTGCTGGCGTCGGCGCTGGCGTCGGCGCAGGTGTTGGTGCAGGTGTGGGCGCCGGCGTGGGCGCTGGCGTTGGAGCCGACGTAGGAGCAGGTGTGGGCGCAGGCGTGGGCGCTGGCGTGGGTGCTGGAGTGGGCGTCGGCGTCGGCACAGACGTAGGAGTCGGCGTCGGCGCTGGCGTCGGCTCCAGCGTGGGCGCAGGCGTCGGTGCAGGCGTCGGCGCAGGTGTTGGTGCAGGTGTGGGCGCTGGCGTAGGTGCCGGCGTCGGCGCAGGCGTGGGTGCCAGCGTAGGTGCAGGCGTTGGCGCAGGCGTGGGTGCCAGCGTCGGCGCTTTCGTCGGCGCTGGCGTCGGCGCTGGCGTGGGTGCAGGCGTCGGCACTGGCGTCGGCGCAGTTGTTGGTGCAGGTGTCGGCGCAGGTGTCGGTGCAAAGGTTGGTTCTGGTGGGCTTGGCGTCGGTGCTGGTGTTGGGGCGGGCGTCGGCGCTGGCGTCGGTGGCGCAGGTGTAGGTGCAACCGTACCGCTTGGACCGCACCATACTCCCTCGCACGTCAACTCGCATAAAGCCTCGTTGTTCTCGCAGCCCACATCGATGGCGGTATCCACATTGCACCAGTCTTGCAAGAAGCTCCCCGGACAGCCGCAATGCTTGATGTAACACTTGCCCACCTCAGGTGCTGTTGAATTACCTCCTGCGCTTGTCGGGGCCCGAGTCGGGGCAGCTGTCGGAGGTGGCGTCGGCGCAGGCGAAGAAGTCGGGGCCACCGTCGGACTGGTCGGCGCAGTACCGCTCGAGCCGTCACACCAGACTCCGTCGCAGCTCTCCTCGCACAGGGCCTGGTTGGCGGCGCAACCCTGGCTCACGGCGGTGTCCTCGTTGCACCAAGACTGGAGGAAGCTGCCAGAGCAACCGCAAGCTTTGATGTCCGCATGCCCCCCACCTGCTGGGGGCGAGAAGACATGTGAGACGTTTGGCGGTCACCCTGCCCTCCTACCCCTCCCCACGCGTCCAAAACCCAATTTTGAGAGGTGGGCAAGGGTATCCTCCGACGAGCTCCTCAACGCCCTTCCCGGGCTGTAGAGGTTGTTTCTAAAATTAGTTACTTGCCTAGACTATAGCCGCTCAAATTGCCCAAAATGGCTCGAATGTGCCCCACCCAATTAACGCGAGATGACCTCCCGAAGTATCCAAGACGGCTCAAGGTGGGCCAAGACGGCTCCTCGAAGAGCACTCGGGAAGCAAGTATCGTCGAAGCCGCAACATTGTTTCCCAATCCTCCCTTGGCTGGATTCTCGTTTTGAATAAAGCATCCGTTCTCCTTTTTCCGCCCTCTCCACTTTCGAGGGTTGCTGGGGGGGCCAGCACACGGGTGTCCCACGCAGATTTGGAAAAGACCTCGCCATAGCTGCGGGGCTGCGAAGTGTGAAACTGTCGCCATTCTCGAGGAAGACCGCGCAGTGGTGTCCCACGCGAGTCCCCAAAACACCTCGCCATACCTGGGGGGGGCGTATGAAAATGTCGCCACTTTCGAGGGTTGCTGGGGTGAGACAGCACAGTGGTGCCCCACGCAAATCCCCAAAAAGACCTCGCCATCGCTGGGGGGCTGCGAAGTGCGAAAATGTCGCCACTTTCGAGGGCTGCTGGGGGAGCCAACGCAGTGGTGTCCCACGTAAGTCCCAAAAAGACCTCGCCATACCTGGGGGGGGCGGCGGAGGGCGAAGTGCGAAAAGGTTATCATTCTCGAAGATTGTTGGGGAGAGACAGCACAGTGGTGTCACACGCAAACCCAAAAAAAGACCTCCTCGCCATCCCTGGGAGGCTGCGAAGTGCGAAAACGTCGCCACTTTCGAGGGTTGCTGGGGGAGCCCACGCAGTGGTGTCCCACGCAAGTACCAAAAAAGACCTCGCCATCCCTGGGGGACTGTGAAGTGCGAACATGATGCCACTTTCGAGGGCTGCTGGGGGAGCCACCACGTGAGGCCCAACGCTGATCCAAACAAGGGCCTCGCCCTATCTGGGGGCTGCGAACTGCAAAATTGTCGCCACTTTCGAGGGCTGTTGGGGGCGCCTACACAGTAGGGGGTCCCACGCCATGTACAATTCGCACGATGTAGATACCCCCCTGCGCTCGTCTCTTGCAATGTTGTTGTCGCACTATTGTCGACACCTGTTCCAACCATCCTATGGTGTTGGGTCCTCGTTTTGAAGAGATGGTCCCCGCGTCCCTCCTCTCCTCTTCTCCTCCTCCTCCTTCTCCTTCCCCCTCCTCTCTCCTCTCGTCACCCTCTCACTTTGGCACACCCCTCTCACGTTTCGTGGCCCCATAGGGAGCTCCACCTGAGGGCCCCATGGCGCAGTTCGTATGGCGGCGCCGCCCCATTTTGGCAAACCCCTCACACGATTCGTGGCCCCATAGGGAGCTCCATCTAAGGTCTCAGTGGCGCAGTTCGCATGGCGGCGCCGCCCCATATTGGCAAACTCCTCACACGTTGCGTGGCCCCATGGGGAGCTCCATCTAAACTCCCAGTGGCGCAATTCGCATGGCGCCGCCGCCCCATTTTGGCACACGTTTCACACGTTTCGTGGCCCCACAGGGAGCTCCTCTTAAGGGTCCCATGGCGCAGTTCGCATGGGGGCGCCGCCTCATTTTGGCACACCCCTCACACGTTTCGTGGCCCCACAGGGAGCTTCTCTTAAGGGCCCCATGGCGCCGTTCGCATGGGGGCGCCGCCTCATTTTGGCAAACCCCTCACACGTGTCGTGGCCCCGTGTCAGGTCCCAGTGGCGCAGATCGCATGGCGGCGCCGCCTCATTTTGGCACACCCCTCACACGTCTTCGTGGCCCCATAGGGTGCTCCACCGAAGGTCCCAATGGGCATGCGTCCCCCACACCCGTGTCGGCACACCCCTCACACGTTTCGTGGCCCCCGAATGGGGCTTCACCGAAAGTCCAAGCGGGTGTGCACGCAGGCGTCCCCACAGACATTTCGGCACACCCCGCGGCCAGCTACACCGAAGGCCCCAGTGGCGCCGCTCGCGGTTGAGAGGAGGAAGAGGAGGAGGAGGAGGAGGAGGAGGAGGAGGAGGAGGAGGAGGAGGAGGAGGAGGAGGAGGAGGAGGAGATAAGATAAGATAAGACCCTGGGGCGCCGATCCCTCCCTGCACTGCTATGCAAGCCCTCGCTCACATCCACACATGCTGCAAAAAGAAAGAGGCGCCTGGGTTCGCCAAGTTGGCGGACTGGAAATGTAGCCACCGCGCAGCCCCACGGCCACAAAGGAGTGGGGACTGGCCCGATGGCGGACCCGACGGCACGCAGCCTGCGGCTGCCATCATAGGCGCTAACCTCGGGCACTTCTGCCTGAAGTTGCGCCTCGCTCTGAACCTGAGCCTCTGCCCCGACGATTTCGAGATCGGGGAGGGAGCTGGATTGCAGGCCCTACCTCTGGGGCAGTGGGGAAGTAGACGGGAGCGGGGGAGGACGTAACGAGGCCAGGAGGCGGCGGAAGAGAGGAAGGGGAAATCACGCTAGGGAGTCTACTATCAGTCAAACCTGAAACTCTCCTGCTAGCATCTTCGCTCAAGAGCCCTGCCATCAGAAGTTGCTGTGCTCGCTCACTATTGGCCCAGCTGAAACCTCTAGAGCCCCCTACTTGCAGTGGCCTAGCAGGCGCTGCGCCTCCCTTACCAAGACCCCGCGCGGGGCTGCCCCCACAGTCTTCTCTCCTCCCTCGGCCTTGAGGCAGTGGCGGATCGCCGAGAGCAGCTGGTTGCCGCGCTCGCTGGTGTCCAAAAGGAACTGCACCTTTGCCATTTCCCTGTCGTCCTTGCCCTTCGTTTTGAGACGCTTCGCCTTGCAGTACCTCACCACCTCGCTCAGCACCACTGGGTCCTCCGCTGCCATCACCGTCGACTCCCAGTACTGCGCCGCCGCCGACTGCTCCTTGGGCAACTGCCCCGCCGCCTCCTCGAACGCCGCCCCCTTGATCAATGCCGCAAACGCCCTCAGGTGAGGGGCGTGCATCTTCACCCTCGTGAACTCCTTGCCCTCCTTCTCCGCTGCCTTCTGAAGCTCGCGTTGCTGCTGGGCCTCCGCATTGAAGCTCTGGCCCTCCTCGAGCATGAACTGCACCGTGCGACTGTCGAGCGGCAGCAACCAAGTGTCGTACACCGCGCCGACGAGCGCTCTCAACTCCGCCTCGTCGTTGAGCACCAACTTTGCCAAAACGATGACGAGCTCGTCCAGGTTTTGCTTCTGTCCGCCCCGCTGTGCCCCATGACGAGCTTCTTGCGCGCCTCCCCCTGCTGGCCCGGCGATTCGACGCATCTTGCCGCTGCCCTCGTCCGTGTTGCGCGTCATCCACTTGGGGACCGCCGCCGTCGTGTTCGGCATGGCTGGAGAGGTCGACTGGCCCCGACCGTGATACAGCACGAGCTCGCTGCGCTCGCAGCTGCAGAACACTGGAACGTGTAGCTACAGTATCAAGAACTCGAGGAATATGACTACGGATATGCTGCTGAAAATCATCTGTGTCCGATGCGTGATATTCGCAGAGGGGGCAAGCCAAGTCAGTAATTTGAGACCGAGCAGCCTGAGACTTTCCACCCCCAGCAATACAGTAACCCCTGTTCATGGAGCCCACGAGGTGCCTGCTAGCCGTGATCACCCCCGAGAAGATCCCCTGACAGTTTGGGCACTCGTTAGTACGACATAGAACATGCCCCAATGAGCGATAATGATGATGGAATCGTAAGTGGTTTAGCGCAGACTTCTTATCGGGGAACTTCGCATCGCATCGAACTCGACGACCAATAGTATCGCTGGGATCGCATCTATGTTCATATACACCACAGACCCATTTCACAGCACCACCCTGGACGATCTCGGTATATAACAGAGCACTAAGTTGAGGATCGTACTCAGGAGGAGGAATCGCTACTGTATGAAGACGTCGTCGCAGGAGAGAGAAATCAATCTTACAGAACGCTTTTCCAAGCTCCTTATCCCACCAAAGCGCGAGAAACGAGCCCTGCAGACGTTCGAGCAACTCTCGACCGTCCTCAATATCCTCCAGTGCCTGTACATCTTCAAAGAACTGCTTCGCCCAGGGGTTCGCATAGGCGGTGAGACGACCCATGTCATCATACTGCGGACGATCGTCCACCTCCAATTCAGCAAAAAGAGCTGCCAGAATCTGAGCATGCCGCCCAGGATAACGGATGAACTGCACGAGCCACCCCAGACGACGGACCCTGAGCTCGATGAAGGCAGGCGTAATACGCCAATGATTGAGCACCTGCTCATTGCTGAGACTCAGAACATGTGTAGTGCCCTCACAGCTGGCCCCTCTCATAGCCACTCTACAATATCTTACCATAAGAGAATCCAACTTCTTACATAACCCCTCCGTCACCAGGTAAGCCTCCAGGTTCTGGACCCCCGCGTTCTGGACCCCCAACAAGACCGAGCGTTTCAGCCGAAACGAAATGCCAGGAGTCGACCAGAAACTTCCCAAAGAATGAAACGAGCTTTTGATCGCGTTCAGGCGCTCGTTAACCTCTGGAGTGATCGAGCCCATGGAATGAATCTCCCCACCCAGCACCCTCATAGGCGGACTGACTCCTCCTTCAAAAAGTTCAGACGCAGAGGCTCGTAATCGACGATTCGCGGCGACTGAGCCCTGGCCAGAGAGACAGACGATGGTGTTCTGCTTGCTCCTGTTCTGCGCCCATCCCCCTATCTTAAGAACCTCATCCAAGACTTGATCGGAATAAAAGTTGGCGGCAGAAAGCTCTGCCAAGCCCGCGTCACCACAAGAGGCCTCAGGACCTCCACCTACGTGCAGCTTCGTGAGATCGTCGGCATACTTAGTCAGAGACAGATCTACAACCATGCCTGTAATCGGACAAGTGGCTGCGAGAAGCGCCTCCGAAGGCATC